CTTCCACTATGGCGGGAAAGAAATTAAAGCTCTCTCTGAAATGTTTATAAGTGGGATTGGTAGAAAAGAAAAAAATAATACCTGGATTTTATGGAAATCATAACATAACAATTCTAACATCTCAAAATATAGATATGCTATATTGCATGAGCTTTATATAGAAAAAGTCTGACTTGGGGTGAAGGGGCGTATGTGAAACAAAAAATGAGATATCCTCTCACATGGATTTATGAAAATTCTAAGGTGGTAAATTCTACCACAAATTACAAATTCCTAGGGACACTCAACTATATTGTCAAAGCTACCAAACAGACGGTTGATGTACTGTCTTCAAGCTACATCGCTGATACACATGCCTGGAGGGCCTATGACAGATTATTATTACTTCTGAATGAACTTTAACAATAATTACCACAGCACATACTAAGTACTCATTAAGTTCCTGACACTGTTTTAAGCATTGTATATATGTTAATTATTTATTGTTTTTCTTAAAAATAAGGAAACAGATATAGAGAAGTTATATTATTTGCTCAAGGTGACACGGATAATAAATGGTAGGCCCATGACAATCTGGCTACTAAAAACTACCCTAAGACACTGATGACATACGTACTATGTACCAGAAAATGATACTGAGGAAACAACTCAATTTGGCTATAACATGCATATTCTTTATTTCAAGGGTTACCTATATGAAATGTCATTATGAGTTAGTAGTTCATAAATCTATAGTTCAGAAGATAGCTCTTATATTAAAACAAACTAGCATAAGACATCCAACATGTAAACTATGTAAAACTGCATAAAATTTAAGGATTATTGTTATTAGACTGTCAAAAATTTTTGTAGCCTGGCCTGTGTGGCTCAGCGGTTGAGCATCGACTTATGATCCAGGAGATAGAGGTTCGACTCCCGGTCAGAACACACGCCCGGGTTGTGGGCTTGATCCTCAGTAGAGGGTGTGCAGGAGGCAGCCGATTAATGATTCTCTCTCTAATCATTGATGTTTCTATCTCTCCCTTCCCCTTCCTCTCTCTGAAATCAATAAAGACATATTTAAAAAAAATTTTTTGTAATCTTTAAGAGAAACAGTCAGTGAAATGACAGTAAATTTGGAATATATTTGTCCCAGCACATAGATCACTGGTGCACAAATAACTACAGACTGATATGGTCAACTAAATCAAACTGCTAAGTAATGCAACTCATTTCCACCAATCATTCCTAATTAAACAATCCTTTATTAATAAGCACAACTCCACAGTTGGTGAAAATATGACAAAGTTGATGTATTCATATTCTGATGATGTAAATTTGTTCAAATGTTTGGGGAGACAAAAAACTGGCAACTGTAAAAATATTTATATCCTCTGACCTAGTGATCTCATTTGAGATTAGTATACTATGTAAACAATTCAAAATAAGCAAATGGATATATGCACAGAGATGCTCAATTCAATGTTAAAGTAGGCAAAAACTGAAGACAATTATTTTCCTGCTGGGCACTTAAAATTGAGGACATTTTAATAGTCATTTGGTAAACATCATGTAACCATTAAATATTACACAAAGGTTAGATAACATGGAAGAAATGCTAATGCTATAAAAGTAAAATAAAACAAAATTCTATATTATAATTCTGTAACAATGATAATATATATGCACAAACTAGAAGGCAACAAAAATAATGAAAAAGATTATTTGTTAATAGGGCAAAACTGGAGTTGATTTCTAGTAACACTATTCTAACAAACGTTCAATAAATAAAAAGAAACACACTAGCCCAAAAAGCAGAATTAGAAAAAAATGAAGCTATAAAACTGAAATAGCAAAGGTTCACTTAGGCAAACCAAAGAACATTTAGGGAACATATTTATAAATTTAATTACACATGAAGGAAACCATATATTATCAAAATAGCCAAAATGCACTTGGTATTTTTTCAAATAGTTTTTGCTAATTACAATGATTCCTACCCTGTCTTTCCCGATTAATTTTGAGAGTCTCTCTGGTAATAAGCTACTACTACTGTTGAAAGTGTTTTCTATTCTTTAGGTATTAAGACAGAAAACATGGTTGAGAACCACTATCTTTAAGATACACAATACAGGCATGAGTGAACAGGCCTTGCCTCCAAAACATTCTATTTATTTATGTCCTTTCCTGTTGCAAAAGTTTTTAAACACTTTACTACCAACTGCAAAATGCCAAGAAGGAAAAAAAAAGCATCACTAAATGTACTTAAAAATGTAAATAAAGACACCAGTTTCAAGGTTAAAAAGAATAAGTGAAAATAGTACATAATAAATATATGTATATATAATTATATGATATATATTTATAATATATGTAAAATAATTCAAATTATTGTTGACTTTAAAGATCCACAAACTTCCTTAAATTTCTATGAAACTATACTTTATTCTAACTTTTGACGCTGAGCTTAAGAAACAGAACAGAAGAAATAAAATGTTTTATGGGGTATTCTCCTAGATAGAAATACGTAAATACTATCACTACTACCTCGTCATTAAAAACATTAAGAGAACATGCAGCATTTTAGCTAAGTTCTTAGCCTGAAATAATAGAGGTGAGTATAGGATAAACACAGAAATACTCAGTTAAACTATTGACTGCAACAATGCAAATTTTTTTACAGTACATTTTAATTACAAAGAACAGCATAACATGTACCATATGTGTTGATTTTTATAAAGATCAGTTGAATATCCAATTATTGTCACCCATTGGGTTTTACATGAAAGATTCTGTTATTTTCCTATGGTGACATAGTAAGATCCACAAACTTGATCTAACAATTTATATAATAGCAGAGAACATATAAATTATTGAAACCCGCCCGGCTGAGCATCACCCTAGGATCCAGGCGATCAGGGTTCGATTCCTGGTCAGGGCACATGCCCTGGTTGCGGGCTCGATCCCCAGCTGGGGGTGTGCAGGAGGCAGAGATCAATGACTCTCTCATCATTGATGTTTCTCTCTCTCTCTCTCTCCCCTTTCCTCTCTCTGAAATCAATAAAGATATATTTAAAAACAAATAAACAAATTATTGAAACCCAACTTTCCAAAATACAAAAATTTAGGTAGGAAAAATGTAGATGATTTCTTGAGTTAACGCTAGTTATAGGTAGTAGACGTTTGATGCATAGCATATAATTTTTGGATATTCATATTGCTTCCAAATTCTGAGTACCAATAAAAAGTATCCCTGCAAAATATTAAAGAGCTGACATAATAATCATTCCTATTATTATCTTGGTTTAAAAACATGAAACAAATACTCCAAGTGAAAAAATGCAGTAATTTTTGGAATACATGTTTATGCACCTTAAAAACACACACACAAAAGTCCCTGAAAGCTCCTTCCTTACTGACAATTAAAATACAAACACCTAAATTCTAAATTATCACAATATATTTTAAATAATTAAAAAATTAATGGTAGTAGCATCTTCTCAAAGCCAGATTAAACATGTTTTGGGAAAGCAGCATACAAACCACAGTAAATTTGGAAGATTCTTATAATTACAAAGACTAAGACTCTTAACTGTAACTCAGTTACTGGTGGCCATAAAGATGCATGAACTTCCTTAAATCTGTTTTCTTGATTGCATAAGGGAATCTCTATTTTTTCATATACTTTACATAAATGTTCCTGCAATTTTGAAAAAAAAGTGTTTACAATGGATTCCTCAGTCAGTGTAACAAATTTAATTAGGAGATATAATTGCTACTGTATGTGTCTTTCAGGGCACTTAACCCTGTAGGACTGACTTTTTAACAAAATTCTCACCTTCATAGCTTTGGTACAGGAGACCAAGAATACATGGTTAAAGATTATGCCTAGAAAGGCTATTACTGACAATGCCAGTGATTATGAATTTCTTCAGGTAGGACAAAATGTGCTCAGAGGAACAGTTTTTGTTCTGATTTCAAATATATACATTAAATTCATACATTGTTACCGTTTCCAAGATTTAAAATTCCTAAGAAATTGTACCTTTCACATTATAATTTAAGGATTAGTCAATATGACTAAAGTTCATCAGGAGTAATCCCTTTTACTCCATCACATTCACTGTAGTGTTACTCTTGGCTTCACCAGTTTTAAGACTCCCCCATTAAGCGAGGGCAATTTTATACTACATAAGGGCACACAAATGGTCCCCAGCTCCTCCACCCTCTCCCTCCTTCCAGTTTCAGTTCAACGAGCGAACATAGAACACACACACACACACACACACACACACACACACACACACACACACACACACACACACACACAC